GTATCAACCAACGTTTCTTTTACAAGTTTGATCGCACTTGATGTGGTGTTGTCATTATTCCTAATTGCAAGTGTGCTTTTTACACTTCACAAATGGCCAAATCAAGAATCTCAAACAAACAAGAAACTCATTTTACTGTCAGAAACAACTGCTCGTCCCTTTTTCTTTTCATCAGCCTCTCTTAGATCAAACAGAGCAGAAAAGGGCACTTGGAAACTAGCAGATCTTATTATTGAGCCTGAGATTTGGAAACGCTCCACTCCTATCAATTACCGACATCTCTGAAGACCGTGCAATATCATTCGCTGTGGCCTACAAATATGAAATATTTATTGAGTTTTTGTCTTTTGAAAACACTCGGCGTGGGGACGGGAATGTGCCGGCGTCTTTGATTTAGAGGTACTAGATTCAAATTAGACGCGAGAGCAGAAGTCCTGAAACAAGCGATGTAGGGCTACACCCATATTATTTCTGAGCTTTGCATAGACACGCAGTCGCTTCCCGGTGTGAAGAGTCTTTGTGTGTGCAAATGACCCGCATCTCAGCGGGCATTAGGGAGATTCTGTTTTTGTTTAGGAAAATAAGAAGCATCTGTATACAAATGTGAAACAGACAAAGAAAACTAAATGTCGAACTACAAACACCATTTAGAAAGCACGTGTGAATGTACCACATGCTGGACGATTTAACATTAGATTTCTCACTAGTTAAAGGGATAGTCCACTCAAAAATTCTGTCATAAAATATCATATACCCACCCCCAATTCAAATAATCTGAAGAATGTTGTTAACTAAACAGTTTCGTTTTTTTTGTCCATACAATGGAAGTCAATGGGAATCAAATCTGTTTAGTTGCCAACCTTTTTTAAAATATCTTCTTTTGTGTTCCACTGAGGAAAGAAAGTTATCCAGGTGTGGAATGACATGAATTTTGCGATGGACTGTCTCTTTAAAAAGGCACATAGCTATCATGTGGGCCCAAATTTTTTGTCTTTTAATTCTGTCTGTTAGCTTTGAAATGAGTGTACTCCTAAATGGTGACAGGAAATAATGTTATACCAATTATGTTATACTCTTCTAGGAAAATTTTAAAAACTAGTATAATGTACTGTACATCCCTGGTACTCTTCTTGTACCAGGGATGTACAGTACATTATACCAGTTTTAGTCCAGTAAAATGCAGTCTACTGCAACATCTGCAGCTGAGATTGGTGGAAGGTGCCCTGCTTTGTTCCTAACAGGCGGTCGAGGACGTAACCCTAAACGTGCCGCTAACCCTAACCATATTGAGCCTGTAAGGCTAATCAGCCTGTCAGACACAAAGCAGGGGCACCTTGCGTATATCGCAGGCTAGCAAAGCAAAAATGGTTTATCATGTGTCTTGAACTGAAGGTTGTTGGCTATATAAAGTCAACATGAAATCCAAATTGACACCATGTATGTTCAAATTTGGTCCCTGATGTTATTGTAGATGATTCAGCTGTGCATGTTATTTCAAAGGTAAAATAGTAATTAGTCTTCAAATTTTCTGTTTAAAATTGGTTTTGAGCTGCCATCACCAAGCCTTAGATGTCAACCCCTCTCCACCAAGTATCATTTAGAGACCACTTTTCATGATCTAGTCAATTACTGATGGATGAAATCATATCACACCCTACTTTTTAACCATCATGTTTCACTTAAAAATATGTCACATCACATTACAGATGTAAAACTGGTTGTAAGCAATCAGGCAACTGATGTAGTGATTGATATTGGCTTAAAAAAGGATAAGGCCTTTTGATATGTCAACATGGGTAGGAAAATCTGTTTAACATACATATTTTATGGGTTCTTAAAAATTGGAGGGGGGGGGGGAGTAAAGATGCTGCAATGGGAGGTTGTAAGATAATTTATTAAAATATTGTGTATTGAACCATGCAGGGACATCAGTAAAATCAGCTTGTTTGTGAAATGGTTCAAATTCTTAGAGTGAAATATTTCTGTTTAAAGGATAATCAATGGTTACTAACTCTTTCCACGCCATTGACGAGTTATCTCATCTTTTAAAAGAAAACGCTTCCCCGCCAAAGACGAGTTTTTACGGCTTTTCGTGTATTCACTGTTATACACTCGGGGCACTATTTCGCATCTTCTGAAGGAGTACAAAACCTCCCGAACAAAAACACACATGAACAGGACGGAAAAACTAGTGATATCTTATATAAACAGATGCATATGAAGAATAATGCGATCATCAGCAATAAACAGCATATAAATGAAAACTGCATAATGTTACAGAGTAAAATGTTGATCCAGGAAGTGGTATATGTCTGTGCAAGCTTTGGAGGTTTTGATGGAAGCGATTTACTGGATTTATGCTTTGAAAATCATACTGAATATTATCCAGATGTAGTTTTTGATAAAAATTTGATTTTCTCACCTTTTTGCTCAAAATTATGCATTTTTATGAAACCTACCTATATTCAAGTGTTGATAAAAAGAGAATGCTTTAAGCTAGAATAAAACTGATTTTTTTTATCAGAGGCTCTGATATTTATTTTGGTGTATTGCATATTCAAATATTCATACAGCAAAATATACTGGAGGCCATCAAATTTGAGTGAAAATCATCAAAATCGCTGGCAGAGGCTGGCAAATTTTTTTTTTTTTAAATGCTGGTGGGGAAAGAGTTAATAGTGTAACTTCAGCTAGTTAGGATTGTCCTATCGAACATAGATCTTGGGCTGCATGATTTTGGGTGAAAATGTAATTGCAATTTCTGATTTAAAAAAAAATGTGATTTGAAATACGATTTGGCAATTTGGCCAAAATTTGTGATTTGTTTATATAATGACAAAAATAAATAAATAAATAAATATCTTTGTTATTATTAATTTTGTAATATTTCACTGTAGAATAAAAAAGTAAACAGTAAAAAAAGTATTTAAGGAAAAAAACAAGAGATGATGAGCTGCTCGTGTGTAAAAAAACAAACAGTGCTGAGCTTCACTTATTTAAATCACAGCCTTTATGATTGGATAAGTCATAAACCTATATTCCGATTTCAGTTTCAAATCTCTCATAACACACATATAACCTCATGAATGAAGTGCAGTCATCATCCCATTACCACTGTTAATGATGAAAAGACAACGATATTTCAAAGTCAGCTTTATATGTGAGTTTTTGTATTGATTTGGCAGCTTGTTTGTTTTAATAAGGCTGTTTGAAGGGTAGGAGAATCCGATGATAACTTAAATGAATTCTATCCTTCAGTAATCTCAGTAAATTCCTGTAGTAATCACACTGCATGCTATAGAATATGGGGGTGCTCACTACAAATATTAGTTTTGATTGGTGCTCTGCCATGATAAAGCTCACATTTGATGCTGTATGACTTTGTGTTCAACAAGATGGATGGTCACAAGCCATGCCATTCTGGGCATTAATCTTGGTATGGGGGAAAAAAACAGGCTTCTGAATTTATCAGGACTACAGCTGGTTGCTTTTCATTTAGCAGACACTTTTTATGCAAAGCAGTTTACAGTGCCCTAATTGCAAGGACAATCCCTTTGGAGTTAGTGTAGTGTACTAAGTGCTTTACTCTGGAGTCTAATAATTATGGATCTTAGTAACTCAGCGCAGTTCACTGGTTCTCTTTATGTGGGATCACACTTGGAGGTTTTGTTTCAACAGCCCAGATTTGTACCCACTGGTCTGATGACACTCGATAGTTGCAAAACAATTGGTAACACTAATTCCACCCTGTGTTTTCTTATTAAACTTATTAGATGAGATTGACTGCAATGTTTGTAACCCTGAAGATTTTCTGTATTATTTTATAAACCAATTTCTTATTTTTTGTTTTACATTTTATTCTGTATTTTAAAAAGTGTATAAATTAATTTGCTAATGAATACAAATAACTACTCAGAAATACATTCAGTATGTTCATTCAATATTATATAGTTGTCCCAAAAACTCTTGACTAATTAGTTTTTTGTAAATTATTTTTTGTTAAAAAAAAAAGTGTTGTGTCTTTAAAATAAATGACCCTTTTTTAAGAGTGGCTTAAGTGTCCGAATAGTTTTTATAGCTACTTTATATTTACATTTACATTTACATTTACATTTAGTCAAAGCGACCTACAAATGAGGACAATGGAAGCAATCAAAATCAAAATATATTTTTTAAATTATATAATAAATAAAAAGAAAACAGATAGTGTTAGAACAAAGCTAGTGTTAGTTTTTTATAGAAAACAAGCAGTTAGTAAATTAATAGAGTGCCAGTCTAAAAGGGGCAAGTTTTTTTAATATATGTATAACTCAATATTTAAAGTGATTTTTATTTCTCAAATGTTTGTTTTTCATACTTCTAGAGACGTACACGCATTTGAATTGAGAATTTTTTTAAGTATCGACTTTGTCTAGGATGTTTGTACTAAAAAATTATATATACTACTTTTTTGAAATATTATCACAATTTTAAATAACTGTTTTATATTTTATTATATATCTTAAAATATAGTTTATTCCTATGAAAAATCTGAATTTTCACTGAATGTCTTCAGTGTCACATGATTCTTCAGAAATCATTGTAATATATCGATTTGGTGCTTTAAGAAGCTTTTATTATAATTATCAATGTTGAAAACAATTGTGCTTCTCAATATATTTGTGGAAACAGTTTCTTTGATGAATAAAAAAATTTAAAAGAACAGTATTTGAAATGAAAATCTTTTGTAACATTATAAATGTCTTTATTGTCACTTTTGATCAATTTAATGGGTTCCTTCTGAATAAAAGTATTAATTTCTTGTTAAAAATCATACTGTGACAAACTTAAAATGACTGTGTAAATGACTTATTTTTTTCATATATGCTCTTATTTTTGAGAATAAGCGAATACAGCTACAACATAAGCTTTGTTATGACATTTAGGTCATGGAAGGTCATGATGAGAAATGTATGAGTTCATATTGAAATCTCTGAACTGTGAACTCCTTTGTGTTGTAGGTGGAAGCTAAATGGCAGCCTGCTCAACCCTAAACCCGGCTCCCATCACAGCCTCTCTGGAGGCAACCTTCGCATCAACCATCTCAATAAAGACGAGGACGCTGGGACGTACCAGTGCCTTGCTTCTAACTCCTTCGGGACTATTGTCAGCAGGGAGGCCAGCCTAACCTTTGCCTGTAAGTCACATTCTGATCTCTGATCAAACTACAGCAGCACACATCAGGCCCAAACAAACAGGACATTGCAGACCTGATGGCACACACTGGTACGCTGGCCCTTGTTCTCCTCGCTGATAACATGATCAAAATGGAAATGTTTTCCCTGAGGAGAGCCTGGTCGCTTTCTCAGTCTCTCATTCTTGTTTCTCTTTCACTCTGTCTGTATCTCACATACGCACAGGTTGTTCAGAGGCCAGATTCAGTCACGTAGTCGTCATTTATATGGGCTGATAATGAGATATCAAAAAATTTGATTCAGTGAAACACATTCAGGCCTTGCGCTCCTTGTTATGGCTGTTTTGAAAGCGACGACTGGCAGCTAATTGGTTTAAGCTCCACCCTTTCTACACACCACAAGAAAAGCTTTATCCACCATATAAAATAATGAGACTGAGGCTATGTTCCAAATAGCGTACTACCATAATAATTGCATAATTCCTTCAGAGGGCACTGGACACAGTATGTGATTTTTTTTCATAATTATAAGTAAACTATAAACTAACCATTTTTATATAATTTTGTTTTATTTTAATAAAAATAAATCGGTAATAAATGTAATAAATAATAGTAATAATACATACTTTTTACAATTTGTTTTCTGGACTGGAATATAATATTGCCAAATGCTTGATTAAAAAATGCTTGAGAAAGGTTTTATTTCCAAGGAGATAATTGAATTACCATGCATTAAACATGTAACATAATAAGTGTGACATGTGACAGTAATGCAGCATATGACTATGCCTTACAATGTAAAATTCAGATTTTATGGTTGAATTTCTATAGATTTTGTCACTTTTTGCACTCCTTTTTCTTTGAATTGGAATGGCACTGTTTGAAATGTTTTTATAATGATTACTTTTTCATATACTGTGTAAAAAAAACTAAAACATCTTTACACGGCAATATACTGCACACTCAATAACGAGGCTATTTGCTAATGAATCGGAAATTATTTTCCTTTTTTTAAATATATCACGTCTTTCATTATCATTCAGTTTGATTTGGTTATAAATTGGCAAATTAATATACATAATTTAGGCAACTTTCTACATTTAGAAACAGGGGTGGCCCTAAAAAAATTTGCATGATAACATTTTTCATATCAGTCAAAATCGTTAATTATCACAATATGTCAAATCTTTATTTCTTTCAAGTTTAAAGCCACATTTTTGCTACAGAGTGAACGTTGCAGAAACCAGATAGTTAATCTTTATTATCAGAAAACAAACACTTACCAAACAGGTGAATAAAAACGAAGATAACAGGTTAAGTAAAAATATAATGAATATGTAATATAGTGCATATATTTATAAAAAAATATGTTCATTTCTAGTGTTTTTTGTAGTTTACTATCAGATTAATGGACATTGAGTGGCTATTTTGTTTTATTGACATCTTTCCACATTTGAAAAACTGATTGAGTGATTACATGAGACATTATACATTTCAGTCAGTTATACTGTTTCAACAGACCTTCTGATGTTCATTCTTGTTTATTTTGTGCTGCAGTTTAACTGGTAGTAAAGAGGAAGAAGTGATCGATTGACGTGCCACTTGAACTGAGGCACCTACACCGATCTGTCACCACATTAAATATATATAATAATAATGTCAAATCCACATTTATTGTTTTTATTTTGTGGTCAAATGAACAGAATTTGAAAGCTGGAATCTTTTTTTGTGCACAAGATGATGATTTCAACGATTTCAGCCCTACAAAACTATTTCGAACGTATAACTATTCCTGCTTCAGCCAGAAATTGCCAGTTACCAAAATTGTAGTGCATCACAAGTTTGCATAATGCATAAATATTATATTAAACTTTTGTTATAATTTCTTTGAGGAAAATTGTATGGAAATAAGTATTGCTATTGCTTTATTGCCCAGACCCAGTGTTTTAGTAGAACTACAGAATTTCTCTCTGATTGGACGACTCTGATTGGCTGACCCATTTTTGCATGCACTGATAGCAAATGACAAACAGACTTTTCCAAATGAATTCTGATTCACCACATTCCCAGCAAGACCACTGCCTGAAGGCGATGGCACTATATGGCAGGAACAATCCAATTCTGTGGGGAGGAAGTCCGCTGTCATCGTAAGATGATTGGCTGACAGATCCATCAATCGCTGGTCTCTGACCTTACTAGGCTTCAGTTGTTGTCGTGTGGTGGGGGCACGTGTCTCTGACTGCTCCACATCCATCTTCTTTATTACTCTCTCCATAGCTTAATTAACTCCACCGCATGATGGAGTGGTGCAGGTTCAAGAGAATAATTTAAAGGGCAGCTGATGTTATTAGATGGGATATTTTCTAATTTGGTATCTAATGCTGGAGAATTTGTAGGCGACCACATTGTGCATGAGAATGCATAAAGGTGAAGTCGAGAAGTCACATTTCCAACTTGAATTCGTCAAATGTTTTAATGCTGTAAAGTAGATGAAGGAAAATGCTGAAAATTGGAGGTTTGTGGCTGCTGGTTTATATGTATAAGCTTTGCGACACTCAAATATTATAGACTCCTCTTGTACTCACAGGTATATCTAAATTTTTCTCTAAAAATGCTCCTTAAAAAGCTAAACATTGTTCTTGACATTTTTCATGGAGTTGGGATTTACATAATTGAATACAAAATAATATATAATTAATAAAACGATTGACTACTAGTTATGTATTTACATTTTGCTGCAAAATATTAAAATTAGTGCTGTCAAACGATTAATCGCGATTAATCGCATCCAAAATAAAAGTTTTTGTTTATATAATATGTGTATACTGTGTATATTTATTATGTATATATAAATACAAACACATGCATGTATATATTTATGAAAAAATATGTTATGTTTATATGTTAAAGTTATTTAAATATAAAATATAAGAATATAAATGTATATACATGTAAATATTATTAAAAATATTTACTGTATGTGTGTATTGATAGACTAACTCGGTTACGGCATTTGCTCTTAACATTTCTCTGAAAAATCTGTTTGAGGATTATCAGTAATATAGTTCATAACCACAAACTTGCCAATGAAACACTGTTTAACCTCCTGGGGTCGACAGTTCCGGCGGCGGAACTTTTTGCAGATTTGAATGTTGACAGCGAAAAGAACTAAAATGCTCCTTCATACTTGATCGTACATATAAGAGTAATACAGCATTTAAATATGTAAAGGGTCTACTTTTATTTGTGTACACTCACAATATCAACAAAACATTTTGCTTTTGCAAAATAAAGAAAATATACAGGGTGTGCTTTTAGCTGTCTCATTCTCCGCGCATATCTGTTTGAAACACGTCACTAAAATGATCTGAAACTCAGCGAATATTTGACACACACACATCTCTCATATATCTATAGAAAGCTTAACATGTCTAATTTTAAACGAAGTAAGTCATGACGAAAACAAATATTATGTGACAAAGTAATCAGTATTAAACCAACGCGATGTCAAGTCTTGGCCGTCGCCATCATTATCGCTAATGTGACCACGCCCACGCGCCGATCGCGCTTTTGTTATTACAATAGTACACGTGAAACACGCGCATGTAAACGCCCACATCACAGCAAACAAAGCAGCTAGACGTTTCCTAAAGTTCATCTCGGCTACTTCGCTTCTGGAAGAAGACGTGCTGAGAGAAATAAGCTTTGGATTTTCCTCAGAAGAACACGCCGGCGTGATATTCAGTGGAGGATATAGTAAGTCTTTTTTTATTTGCCTACTTGCATTAGTTGTTATTGTGTTACTGTGACATAGCTTGTACATATTTTAATAGTTACTTTTTACAAACCATGATTCCTGACTAAATGTACAATCAAGTGAAACATTATGAAGATTCATTCACTGCATATATGTCTCACAACGCCAGGAAGTTTTTTTTATGTTCTATAAAATAGTTTTATACTCGTGATAGTGTTAAAATGAAGCAAAAACTCTAGACTTCAAGATCCAGTTCTCAAAAGTCTTGTGATCAAATGTTCTGTATGTGTTTTATGGCCTTTAGTTTTTCCACTAAGCACGCATAAATGTTGTTTTCTCAAAAACATAATCACGTAAATACATGCTGCTCACATATTATTGTAGCCCAGTTTGTGCTGATTACAGTGTTATTAAACTTTAGACATTCAAATGTTTGTAAGCAACTGAAAAAAAGCACAAATGTCAGGGCATGTCAAAACTTTTCCAGGCCCCAAAACACCCTCGGACCCCAGAGGGTTAAAATACATTTGAAACCACACGTCTGATTTCTAAATACTGTAAGTATAGATCATTCCTTAACCTGAAATTTAGACTTAGAGTGGTTTTGTTAACATTGATGTTATTATTAAAAACATTTCTACATGGTAAAAAAAAATGGTTTACTTATAAAATCAGTCCCTTTGGCAGTTTTTTTTTTATTCTGTTTAATTAAGAAATGCATTAACAAAGGAAATAAAACAACATTAATGAAGCCATTTCATGGCATTTATTTGTCTTTTGTATAATTGTATACAATTTGCACAAGTGTGGTTTTTATTCATGCTTTTTTTTAGCAGCTTTCTGTCAGGGCTAGCTTTAGAAATAATAGGTGGCTCGTGAAGTGGTTTGCATCTTTTAGAATGTATTTGTCTCTAAACACCTCTGCCTTTTCTTTTCAAATAAATGACTGTTGAAAATCACTTAATGTGTGAAAATACATTTATGGTTACTTTGGTGTAACCTTGTACGTTGCCTTTGTGTGCTTTCAAATGATCAAAAGTACAGGTTATAAAAGAGACTTTCATTGGATGTGATAAAAAAAAAAAATTTTCATTCTCTCTGAATAGGACTGGATGAATTAGGCAGATATTGAAAGGGTTGTCAGTAGATGCATAGGAAATGAGAAAAATTGTCAGTGTCGATGCACCAATCCCTAAAGCAGTAATTGCATTCTGGGGAATTGCAGAATGTTTTTAATTAAAATGCC